CTCAGGAATGAAATCGCATATAAGAAAATACAAATTTTGTGTATGTTCAAATTTTCTTTTTTGATAACTTTTCAATTACAATTGGCATACAATATTATGTTAGTTTTGGGTATACAACATAGTAATTAGACATTTATGTAACTTGCAAAGTGATCACCCCAATAAATCTATTACCCATCTGACATCATACATAGATATTACAATACTATTGACTATATTCCATATGCTGTATTTTACATCCTCATTATTCTCTCACTTTTCCCCTACAGTCAGTTTTGCTCCAACATGACACTTGCTTTCTTAAAAATCATGAGATATATATACAATTTCACAATAAAAGAAAATACAGTGCTGATGAGTGAAAAGAGGTTTGCAGCACACACTAAACACTTCATCAATGACATAAAAAAAGAGATAGAAAACTCATAAAAATGGTAGCATAGTTTTACATATGTTACCTAGTCAAGAATTGTATAAATACTGTGATAAATGTAACTCTTTACTTTGAAAAAGACCTGAAGTTTGCTTATGAAAGTGGGTGTTAAAAGAGCTTTAGCTATAAGTGTATTGCAAGGTGGTGGAAGGAGGGGTGTCCGAAATCAGAAAGAAAGTTTTAGCACAGATATGAATAGTTTGTCTTAAAACATGCGATGAACTGAGTTTGGTGTTCAATGTTTGAGGAATGTACGTGTGCGCGTTTTGTGTATCACTATATGGTTTGGTTCAGCTAGGTGCAATTTTCTGTGTTTACCCAGTGATTCTCAGGAATGAAATCGCATATAAGAAAATACAAATTTTGTGTATGTTCAAATTTTCTTTTTTGATAACTTTTCAATTACAATTGGCATACAATATTATGTTAGTTTTGGGTATACAACATAGTAATTAGACATTTATGTAACTTGCAAAGTGATCACCCCAATAAATCTATTACCCATCTGACATCATACATAGATATTACAATACTATTGACTATACTCCATATGCTGTATTTTACATCCTCATGACTATTTTGTAACTACGAGTTTGTACTTTTTAATTCCTTCCCCTTTTTTAACCAACTCCCCGACCCCCATCCCATTTGGCAACTATCAAAATGTTCTCTATCTATGAATTTGTTTCTGTTTTGATTGTTCATTTATTTTGTTCTTTAGATTCCACATGTAAGCAAAATCATATAATATTTGTCCTTTTCTGTTTGACTTACTCTACTCAGCACAATACTTTCTAGGTTCATCCATGTTATTGCAGGTGGCAAAATTTTATTCTTATTTATGGCTGAGTAATATTCCATTGTATATATGTACCATCTCTTCCTTATCCATTCATCCATTTATGGACACCCAGGTTGCCTCCATATCTTGACTTTTTTAAATAATGATGCAATGAATATGTGGATTTACATGTCCCTTCAAATTAGTGTTTGGGGTTTCTTCAGACAAATACCTAGAAGAGGGAATACTGTGTTCTTCTTTGTCTCTTGTCACAGCCTTTGTTTTAGAGTCTATTTTGTCTGTTATAAGAATTGCTACTTAAGCTTTTTTGTTTTGTTTTGTGTCCATTTTCATAAAAAGTCTTTCTCCATCTCTTTCTTTTCAGTCTGTATGTGTTTTTCGATCAGAAGTGAGTCGCTTATAGGCAGTATATGCAGGGGTCTTGTTTTCTTATCCATTTAGCTACCTTATATTGCGATTAGAGCATTTAATTAATTTATATCTAAAGTAATTGTTGAAAGATATGTAGTTATTGCCATTTTATTGTTTATATTTTTTATCTTTTTTTCTTCTTCTTCTTAAAGAAGTCTATTTAACATTTCTTGTAATACTGATTTGGTAGTGATAAACTCCTTTAGCTTTTTCCTGTCTGGGAAGCTCTTCATCTGTCCTTTGATTCTAAATGACAGCTTTTCTGGGTAATCTGGGTCATAGGTCCTTGCTTTTCATCACTTTAAATATTTCATGCCAATCCCTTCTAACATGAAAAGCTTCTGTTGAGAAATCAGATCACAATATTATGGGAGCCTTCTTGTAGGTAACTAACTGCCTTTCTTTTGCTGTTTTTAAGATTCTCTCTTTGTCTTTAACCTTTGACATTTTACTTATGATGTGTCTTGCTGTGGGCCTCTTTGGGTTCATCTTTTTTGGGACTCTGCACTTCCTGGGCTTGTATATCTGTTTCCTTCACCAGATTAGGGAAGTTTCCATCATTATTTCTTCAAATAGGTTTTCAATTCCTTGTTCTCTCTCTTCTCCTGGGATCACTATGATGTGAATGTTAGTAAGCTTCTTGTTGTTTCAGAGGCCCCTTACACTATCCTCATTTTTGTGGATTCTCCTCATTCTTATTCTGATTGGGTGTTTTCTGCTACTTATCTTCCAAATCACTGATTCGATTCTCTGTTTTATCTAATTCACTGCTGATTCCTCCTAATGTATTCTTTATTTGTTATTGTAGTCATCATTTCTGTTTTTTTAAAAAAATTTTTCTCCATTTTTATGTTTCCTCTTCATTAAAGTTCTCACTGAGATCACTGACCATCCTTATAACTAGGGTTTCAACTCTTCACCCAGTAGATTGCTTGTCTCCATTTCATTTAGTTTTTTCTGGAGCTTTTTTCCGAATTTTTACATGGGACATATTTCTTTGTCTCCCCATTTTGGCTGCCTCCTTGTGTTTATTTCTATGTATAAGGTAGGGCTGCTATGTCTCCTGGTTTTAGTAGAGCAGCCTCATATGGTAGATATCCTGTCAGGCCCAGTGACACTGTCCCCCTGGTCACCTGAGCTGGGTGCTCCAGGTGTTTCTCATATGGGTTGTGTGTGCTGTCTTGTTGTCATTGAGCCTTGGTTGCTGTTTACATGTCAATGGGAGAGATTGACCCTCAGGATGATTGGTTGTGAGGACTGGCTGGTGACTACAGTGGAGGATGTGTTGTGCAGGGGTGACCCTATGGAGCAGGATTTGCTTTAGCAGGGCTCTGTGGCCTACTCAGTCTGCCCTTTGGGTGTGTCATATTCAGATGTGGCCCCAGGTGATGTTCTGGCTCGATCTAAAGCCAACCTCCTGAAAGGGGCCCCACCGCAGGTCAAATTCAGCTGTATCCTGTACCTTGCCCGGGACCACCTGGCATGAGCCACCAAGCAATCTGCAGATGGCTGACAACCATGATGGTCTTGAAGGTACCTCAAGCAGCCAAGCCATGAACTGAAGCTGGTTGCCGTTAGTGTAAGGCTTGGAGCTGCTGAGCAAGAGGTACAGGGCACGCTGAGGCCAAAGTCTTCTTGTTTAGGTTTTGTGAACCTTTGAGAGATATTAGGAAAGTCTGCAGCATGAGCCCAGACAGACCGTTTATATGGAAATTCCACTAGAAGTGGCTTGGATGGGCCCTCAAGTTGGGTGGACAGAGTCTCAAGGAATCTCCAGGGTTCAGTGACCAGTATTAGCCAGGTTGATGGGGAGTCAGATATGGCAGCTCCTGTATCTGCATGCTGGAAAGGCCCAACAAAGGAACAACGGCCTCTGCCAGGACTTTTCTTTGGGAGAAAGCTGCCCCTCTAACCCTTTCCCTGAATCCAGACAACTCACTTCCTCCCTGTATGTCCCTGGTGCCCTAAGATCTGTTGCCCCAGCACCAAAGCCCAGAGTGGATGAGTCTGTCAGCAACTAAGTCCATGAGCTCTTCACCTTGCAGCCCTTCACCCCACTCAACCACAATCTCCACTGATTTTTACATCCAGATTTTGTGGGGCTTTTTTTTTGGCCCTGGCCCTCAGGCTGCCTGGAACCCCTAGATCCTCTGGGGGCACCTCCTCAACCAAGATATCTTTCCAAATTTTCAAGCTCTACATGCAGGTGTGGGACCAGCCTGTTCTGCTTATCCTCTCCCTCCCAATAGTCTCAAGGTGGCTTTTGCTGTATGTCCTTAGTTTTAGGACTTCTGTTCAGCTAGACTTTAGGCAACTCTCAATGATAATTGTTCTGTAGTTTAGTTGTAATTTTAATGTTGTCATGTGAGGAGGCAAACACAGTGTTTACCTACTTGGCCATCTTGACCAGAAATCCCAAATTGTTTCTTAATATATCTGTTGTGTTAGAACAAATTCATGTTTTCCAAATAAGCATTATAGCAGAATTGACTGTATTTTTTTTTTTTTGCTTTTTCTCATTTTCCTATCTCAACTTAGTTTTCTTTTTCTCTTAGGACTTACTTCTCTCCACTTGTTGTATCATCTTCACCACAAAACTTCTCTAGTGCAGCTAGACTGTAGGGCCTACTTTTGAAGACATGGGATACCCTATCTTTAGGCAGCTCCTTCAGAAAGGAGAAAAATCAATCTCAAAGTATTTAATTTCTTTTGGCTTCCTTCCTGAGGCTTGTGTGCACTCATGACTTTTATGTTGATAGCAATACAGAAATCAAGACTTTTCAATGCTATACCTTTGTTTCAGCTAGATCACATTCACAGCAGGAACAATCTTTTTTAAAAGAAAAGCGGTGTATCAGTTATTTTTCTGAATGTTATTGAAAATAAAACTTGCAGATGCACATATGTTCTTGAATAAAAATAGAAACTATCACATAGTTTCCGTGTCTTTACTTATTACTTAATAATTTACTGTGCTATATAATAAATTTTTATAATAAATTTTGTATATAAATGATAATATGATAACTGCCATATATTAAATGTTTAGTATACATTGGAATTTTGTGTGAAGCTATGTATAATATATATTATGTATGTATAAACTATGTATAATATAGATAGTTGCTTTCAGTTCAAATGCATTTGTTTACATGTTTGAAAATTACAGATCTATCTTATATTCTAATGTCAATTAAGTTTCTCTCAGAAACTTAGTTTTCCTCTGAAATTAGCTCTCTCAGTGTTCTTATTTCTTAGCGTGAAAACTGTATCAGTTTCATTTCTTTAAGTTTGTGAATTTTAAATAAAAGATGAAGAAAATCCTAAATGCCATTTCCTTTTCTTCTCTTGCAGCGTTTATCCAATGGTTCTATAGACTCAACAGATGAAACTAGTCAAATAGTCGAACTACAAGAATTGCTTGAAAAGCAAAACTATGAAATGGCCCAAATGAAAGAACGTTTAGCAGCCCTTTCTTCCCGAGTGGGAGAGGTAGAACAAGAAGCAGAGACAGCAAGAAAGGATCTCATTAAAACAGAAGAAATGAACACTAAATATCAAAGGGACATTAGGGAGGTAAGTGATTCATAACACTTTCAGTCTTTGCTTCCTGAATGCTGCTTCAGAGATGTTTTCCCATAATTCCCTCTCATGGTAATACTTTTAGTCTCAAAATACCATAATTTGGGATGCATTATATTAGTTATGAAAATTGTTCACCAAGGCAAAAATTGTTTATTTCATCAACCCTTTATCTATGGAAAGAAAATTTGATATCAAGTCTCAGATATAATAAAACATTTCTACAGTTATTTTTAATTTAATTTTTTGAGCTGTTAATTTTAACAACACTGGATGTGAATATAATAATGAATTGCTATACTTTTAACATGTGGAAGTACTCAAAGACATTACTTAAATTTATTTTCTCTTTTAGTTTTGTGTCTATGAATGTGAATGTATATATTGAATGTGAGAACCTTCCTTTTTCTAGATATTCAGTTCTCACTAGACTTAATATCACTTAATCTATTTTTTAAAAAGAATACTTGATAGTTACTACAAAAGACAACAAGATCTTTAATTTGAAACAGTGCCAATCAAGTTATCTTCCAGTTAAGGTGAAAATTCAGAATTTTTCCGCCTTCTCTATTTAATTGAAAAGTATCTAAATTTGTGGAATTTTTATTTTATGACTTTTTACTGTTTCCATTTTTACATATTTCTTTAAGTCATATATTTTATTCTTTTTATATACTTTGTAAATAATTAACTAGTTGTTATTGGAGTTGACTATACTCTTTGTATCCAGTTTTTATTTCTTTCCATTTTCTCTCAAGCCCATTTTACCATACAATTTCATCCACTGCCCCATTAAAACTGTTTTTATCCAAGCTGTTATTGACCTCCATGTTGCAGAAGCTAGAGGTCACTTCTAAGTTCTTTGAAGTACATGATGCAGTTACCACTCCCCGGAATACTTTTTCCACTAAACTAATAGCACACTACACTCTCCTGATTTCCTCTGTCTTTACTTGCTACTCCCATTTCAGGCTCCCTTATTGGCTCTACTTCTCCTTTCCAACCTCGGGGTATTTCAAAATTAGCATCCTCAAGACTTTTCCTGCAGGAAGCCAGACTTACTTTCAGTTTTACGAATCTCAAGTGCAACTGATGGCAACTTCATTATTGTTTCTCAGACCAAAAGTAAACAAACAAACAAACAAACCTTAGAGCTGTCTTTGGTGCCTCTTTCACTCCACACCTCCACACATTGCATTTGATTTGGTTGTAAATCCTATCACTTCCAACTTCAAAATATCTCCATAATGTAACCTCTTCTTACAATTTCCATGGCCCTTATTCCACACAACCATCATCTCTCAATGGATTATTATAATAGTTTCTACTCAATACAGCAGCCTGAGTAATCTGTTACAATGTGAGTTGGCTTAAGTCACTTTTCTGCTTAAAACTTTTCAATGGCTACCTATCCTATTTACATTAAAATCCAAGCCCTTGCAGTAGCCTACAAGCCATGTATAATCTGCAATACCACTCTACCAACGTCTTGGAACTCATCTCCTAGTCTTTCATTTTAGCCTTCTCTGTTCAGTTAAGGTGACCTCTTAAACAAGCCAGGCCTATTCGGTTGCATTTTCTTTTCCCTCTGTCTTTTGCTGAAACATTTTTTTTTCAGTCGTGTTCCCTAACCATGCCTTTTACACATATACACTCTCCTTGTTCTCTTATTTTGTAATCTCACAGCATTTACTGCCACCTGATACAGTATGTACTTTCGTGATTTACTTGTTTATCATATGCTTCCCACTCTAACTGTACATAAAGATTCATAAAGGTTGGAATTTTTTGTTTTGTCTTATTTTGTTCACTGCTCCATTCAAATTATCTATACAACTATTGAGCATGTGATAGACACTCAAAAAATCTTTGCTGAGATAATATATATTTATGGATGTTTGATGTAAACATCAAAAGGCATGGATGAGTTAAAATATGTACTAAAACAATGTCTACTCTCTCAGAAAAAGATACATGATCCATGAAGTGGTAGACTGCTCTACCACTGCACAGATAATGAATAATACTGTGCTGTCTACACCTTTATATGAATTAATAGTTCATAGATATATCTCTTCCTTACACCCAAACTAAGAGAATTTATAAAGCAGATGAAGTTTAACCTTTCTTCTATATCACTCTTAAGGAATACTAACATTTCTGGCTGGTAAACCACCGGGGCCATTTCTTGAGTTTTTGCTCATTCTGTATTTCTTCATTCTCTTAGTCCTAGAGATTTCACTGTTTTCCTTTCATTTAACACTCACCTATTCTAATCATGCTTATTTAATCAAGTATTACAGGTAGAGCCCTATATCTCTAACTCTCCATTTCTTATTGCCTATGTAAAAATAACCCCTTGATCTAATAGTTTTTGGTTTTAGGTGACAAAAAGCCACATCAAATGAAAACTGTTTTTCATCTGACACCAGATTTTTTTTTTAATTGAAAATCCTTCTAATGAGTTAGGTAGTCTTCCCTCACATGAATTCTTTATGACTTTTCTGATCAGCTCTATAATGTCTATGTAGTTGTATTTTAGAGAAGTATCATGAGAAAGGGATATCTTTCATCATTCGCTTTTGAAGGCAGGTTGCAAACACCAATACTTTCAGAGCTAGGCAGGCAATATAAATCTGTGAAAAGCCAGATGCAGGACTGTAGGAAGAGGTAGGAAATGAGACCTGGGTAAGGAGCCTATACTCTGCCTGCCTTTCTGGAGGCATCGTGTATGTGCGTGCGTGCGTGCGTGCGTGTGTGTGTGTATTACAAACACTGTGAAGGCCAAATAAAATATTTTCAAAAAGATTCAGGTCGTAGGCCATAGGCCCCTGATTTGCTGCTAGGGAGTTTTGTTTTTGTTTTTGTTTTTGTTTTTGTTTTTAATTAAATTTATTAGAGTGACATTTGTTAATAAAATTATATAGGTTTCAAGTATACAATTCAATATGTCATATGTATATTGCACTGTGTGTTCATCACCCAAAATCAAATTTCCTTCTGTTACCATATATTTGACTACTTTTACTCTTATCTACCTCATCCTCTTCCCCGATAGCCACTAAATTGTTGTCTGTGTCCTTGAGTCTCTGTTTGTTTGTCTTGTTTGTTTTGTTGCTTTCAGTTTTATATCCCACATATGAGTGCAATCATATAGTTCACTTGGCATAATAATCTTAAGATCCATCTATGTTGTCACAAATGGCAGTATTTCATCTTTTCCTATGTCTGAGTAATATTACATTGCATATATGTACTACATCTTTATCCAGTCACCTGTTGAAGGGCACTTCAGTTGTTCTCATGTCTTGGCCATGATGAATAATGCTACAGTGAACATCGGGATACATATATGTATTCAATTTTAGGGGGTAGATACCCAGAAGAATTGCTGGGTAATATGATAATTCTATTCTCAATTTTTTGAGGAAACTCTGTACTGCTTTCCATAAAGGCTGTATGCATTTACATCACCACCAGCAGTGCATGAGGGTTCCTTTTTCTCCACAACCTCTCCAACACTTGTTTACTTGTCTTGTTGATGATAAACGTGCTGACAGGTATGAGGTGATAGGTCTCACTGTGGTTTTGATTTGCATTTTCCTAATAGCTAGTGAAGTTGAGCATCTTTTCATATGTCTATTGGCCATTTGTATGTCTTCTTGGGAGAAGTGTCTGTTCAGGTCCTCTGCCCATTTTTTAATTGTATTATTTTTTTGTTGTTGAGTTTATGAGTTTTTTACATATTATATTAGCCCCTTATCAGAGGCATTGTTTGTAAATACTTTCTCTCCTTCAGATGGCTGCCTTTTTGTCTTGCTGATGGTTTCTTTTGCTGTGCAGAAGCTTTTTACTTTGATATAATTTCATTCCTTTAGTTTTACTTTTACTTCCCTTGACTTTGAGGTCAAATTCATAAAATCCTCTCTAATTCCAACGTCCACGAGTTTAATATCTGTGTTTTCTTCTATGCGATTTATTATTTCAGGTCTTATATTTAGATCTTTCATCCATTTTGAGTTACTTTGGTGTATGGTGATAGATAGCAGTCTAGTTTCATTCTTTTGCATGTGGCTTTCCAGTTTTCCCAGCACCATTTATTGAAGAGTCATTACTTTCTCCATTGTATGTTTTTGGCTCCACTGTCAAAAATTATTTGTCCATGTATATGAGAGTTTAATTCTGAGCTCTTAATTGTTTCATTGGTCTATATGTCTGTTTTTCTGCCAATACCATGCGTTTTGATTATAGTCACTTTGCTACTAGGAATTTTTTGATGCCCAACCATGAAAACTGTTCCAGATGCACTACAAATTCATTTCTCTAATTCTTCACAACTGTTCTATAGAGAAGGTACTTGTCATTATCTCCATTTTTCTCAAGTGAGGAATCTAAGGTTTAGTGAGGTCAAGTGACTTGCCAAAGGCTTATGCATTGCCCTCCCTATTCTCTCATCCCCCAGGACCAGGAAGATGCAAGACCAGCCTGGTTTCAAAACCAGTGCTTCTTCCACTATGAACAGCTTCCAAAATCAGTGTGATATAATCATTTATTCAATGATAGAAACTATCATAAAAAAAAATGCAGCTGCAATATAACTTTCTAGTAAATAATTCAGTTTTGATTATTTTTTCCAACAAACAAGAAGATATAAAAATCATGTACTTTAAAAAAGCGTCACTTACACTTGAAGCCTCAGAATTTGTTTTTATTTTCCTGAATAATATTGTATTTTGCGGCTATGGTCACACAAAGTCTACCTGATTGCAAGTATTTTAGTAGAAAAAAATGAGATGATTCTTCTTGCTATCCCTGTAGCGTTGCTAGCACAGTATGATTTATATATTGAATAAGCAATAAATATTTATTGAATTAATTTTTAAAAATTAGAAGATAGGAAAAGTTAACCATATAATTAAAAGATAAAATGTATTTTGCTTTGCATGTGAGAACAATCTAATATGTCTAAAATGAATCATATAAGTATGTTTCATTAATTGTTCCAAATATATTTTCATAATTATTCTTTATCAAGAAATAAATCTATCCAAAATTAATTTCATTTATATTTTTGTCCTAATTGCTCTTTAAATTGATTGTGACCTATTAGGGTAGGAGGCTGGATTAAAGCTAGGCACAGTATTCATATAAGGAAACACAGAAAAGCTTAGTCCTTAATGTTAGAAAGTTTTTAAGGACAGCCAGTATTGGATATTTTTAAGTGTTTGATCCAAAACTGCAGCCTTGAAGTTCAACTAAAACCTATTTTTCCTGCAATACTTGAAAAGGAAATGTTCAGAACAAATTCAGAAACTACTAACATGCTAAGTTATCAGTTAAAACCTTAGTTTTCAGAAAAAAAAAAAAACAGGAAAAAAAGTAAACATAGCCAATCTCACACAGAGATTTAGCTCTCTACTTTTTAGAAAAGAAAGCTACTAAGCAAATGTGGAATATATCTCATTAAATATAGAGATATGCAAAGAATTAAAATTTTCTGTGAAATATTAAAGCATTTTTGTTTCATGAATAAAACCAGCTTACCTTTCCAAATTTCTATTAAAATCTCTTAAAAGTTTGCTAAGTGATTAAATTAATTTTGTTTTTTTATTATCTGAAATGTGAAGTTATATATTTTACTTTACTAGATTTATAGAGTTATATTTATTTGATATAATAAAGTCTAGTTTACACATAAGCTTCAGGTCAAGAGATAATTAAGTTTTTCCTCTATTTTTCTCTTCTTTTTAGACAGCAGTTTTCAGAGACTAGAAAAAGGTTCTTTTTTTAGAATTTCCAAGTGACATACAGGGAAAAGATATTTTTCCGACTTGTGAATTCAAAATTTATTTTTGGTAACACAGCCTGCAGTTAAAAATTGAATCTCCCACGTGAATCACTGAATCAAAAATGTAATACCAAAGTCACATACAATGACTCTTGCATTTAATGTATGCTAGAGTCAGGTCAGCTAATTTTAGATATAATACTAATTAATAATAAAAAGTAGTTATTATTTATTGTGTGTGCCTTCTACATGAGACATCACACAAATCACTTAAACACCACAATAAACATTATACCACAACAATGATATGTGGTAGATATCAATATCCCAAACAAAAAAAGAAAGGTGAGATGTAGAAAAGTTAAGCAACATTGCAACATTGACATTATAACAGAGTTAATTTGCGTTGAAAACTTGGATTTGGAGCAGATATGCAGTGCTCCATTATTTATGCTCTGAAGAAACATGTGTCTGCATTCTACTGAATTTATTGCTATTAAAATTTAGTAAGAAGTTTAAATATTTGGGCTAGATTAAGAACTTTCTCTTTGAACTACAAAATTGGCATAATATTTTCAGGGTTCTGTATGAAAATAAAATTAACAGAGTGCAATATTAACAATTGTAAGCAATTGTTAATGGGATCCTCTAGCATAAAAACTCTGCCCTCATTAGACTAAAATATATATATATATAATAGAAAAAGTCAAAATTTAAAATAAAAGCTTTTTAAATAGTAGCTGTTTGGGATGACTAAAAATCTAGGAGTGTGTATGTAATATTGGAAAAATTAGTCAAGATTTTTTTTTGGCCAAATCAATGGATTAATTGAATTTAATAATTTGAACTTAATATTAATGTAATTAAGCAAGTGGTCTTTAATTAGGTCTTAAAGGTCAACAGGATTGAACTAAACAAAGAAGGCAACAAAATGCATTTCAGGTAGAAATGAAGTCACAGAGTATATTAGTTTCCTGAGACTGTTATAATAAATTACCATAAACTGGGTGGCTTAAAACAACAGTAATTTATTCTCATAGTTTTGGAGGTTATAAGTCTAAAATCAAGGAGTCAAGGCTATATATCCTCTGAGGCCTCTGGTGAAGAATCCTTTTTCTGTTCTAGCTTCTGCCAGTTGCTAGGACTCCTTGGTGTTCTTAGCTGTTATCAGTATAACTACAGTCTCTGCCTCCCTCATCACATTACCTTTTTTTCTCTATGTCTCTGTATCCCCAGATCTCCTTCTCCTTATAAGAACATCAGTTATTGGATTCAAGGCCCACCCTAATCCTGTATGACCTCACATCTTAACTCGATTACATTTGCAAAACCTTATTTGCAAACAAGGATAAATTCACAGGTCCTGGGTAGACATTAATTTGGGCAGAAGGAAGAAGGTCACCATCCATCCCAGTCCATAGAGAGAGAAGTGTCAGGTCACGAAGCCACTTGTTTTCTAGATTTCATAGCTCCAATTTTACATTGAAGATAGTGTTGAACATATAAAAGTATTTAAGCCAAGAAGCAATAAAATCAGACTAACCTTTAGAATTGCGTCTTGGTCAGCAAGGTGTAGAATAAGCAAACAGGAAAAAAAGACCAACAGCAAGATGACAGGTTTGGCTATAAAGTGGGAGTTAGGGTGAAGGAGTTTTCAAGAATGATCCTAAATTCTGTGGAGAGTGGTGTCATACTCTAGTCAAATAATACAAGAAGAAGAGCTGATTTGTGGGTAGGCAAGGGACTAAGGACAACATCATAAGTTTCATGGTAGATATATTAATTTTTATTTAATTTTAATATTTTATATATACAGACTTTTACAAAGTCAAGTAATATCTAGAGGATACAAATCTAAATACACACACACACACACACCCCAAGCCTCCACCCACCTCCATCTCATTCCTTGAGATTCTTAATTTCAATCCTTTTAGCCATTACTTGTATTTTCTCTCTTATTTAAACTTAATCTATGTCTTTTTGTTATATACTATCGGGATTTTAGCTCTCTTATTCTCTCCCTTACATCTCTTTCACCCATTCTTCTGCTATAATTATCTTAAAATCACATTCACTGTTACCACTTTTATGACTGTATAAATAATTTCCACAGCTGACCCAAATAGGAGTTTCCTATGATAGTATTTCCTTTTATTGTACACCTTTCTGTTTTTCTAGGATTTTATTAATTACCTGATATATTAATATGCTTACTTATTTATAAAACTATGGGAAATCTTCCCATCCACTCCAATAGTTTGGTAAAATTCCATAATTTCAATTCAATTATGATCAATAGTTGAGTACATAATTTATTGTTCTTGTTTTTATTTTCTTTGAATCATCCCTTTTTCCTCTGCCCTCTACCTCTGATCTGTACCAGCTTCTTTATAAGCCTGTTGCATTGTTTCAGCTGTTGTTATGGGATTTACCTCTACTATCATCTTGAAAATCTAAGAGAAAAGAATAATCAAGATTCCTAGAAAAGAAAAAACATAAAACCCAGAGTACAGATGATTATTAAACCATGAGTGAAAGTGGGACAACTGTTCTAAACTAAAAGCTAGAAGTTAAGGATTTGTGTACATGCAATTAAATTTCCACATGATCATGAGGGAAGATCAGGAAGTTGAAGGACTATCCATTTAAGGGCTTCTATTTTTTGGAAAATTGAAAGAAAATGTATCTGTTCTGTGGGTGTGACAGGATTGGTTCTGAATCCTGGAGGAAATAATAAAAGGACTGATTAGAAATGAATGATCAAAGGAATATGAATAGTAATAAATGGAAACCACCACCACCCCCTCAATTTCATGATCCTTGAGCAAGGTAGCTTCCCACATTATCAGGAAACCACACCAGGCCCATGACTCTCACTTCTGCAGCTATCTTTTCCCAACATCATCTCAAAAGGTATGTTATCTACCTACTAGTAAATTCTCATGTAAGATGTTAGGGAGATAAAAGCATCTCCAAATTATCTATGTATTAGATAATTTAAAATGTATCATTTAAAATATTATTAATTCAATGACTTTACTGAATTTACACCAGTAGTTGATTTTTCCCTAGAGTTATGTGTTCACTGAGTTCTTTTTTAATCAAAATATATATATAACACAAGGGAAATGATTAAGTTCCAAAGTCAATTGATCAATTCATCTATGAATATGATTCAAATGTACTTTTTTTTTGCCTTCTCTTTTAACCATTGAGTTACTCTTACTTGTATGTGAAGATGAGAATACTGAAAATATTTGTTATCCATATTTAAAGATTGCTTTGCAATTCGGATCTGTAACCACCATTTCATTAATTTTATGGTTTGCAACTCTACCCATAATTGTACTTATCTCTACTATGTAATGAGCCAATTTATCTGCCACGTCTTTTCTAAGAATGCCAATTCTACAGTAGGCAGTTTCAAACTGTACTACATTGCATTCTCAGAGAAAGAAAGCTTAAGGTTAACCCAAGATGTAAGGAGAATTCTGACAGATAAATTTGGAAAATGCAATGAAATCTTGCATTACTACCATGAAAAGAAAAGAATTAATATTTACTTAAAGAAAGCAATGGTTTTTATATTTTAGTGTTATATTGAAATAATGAAAGAATACATTAAATTAACAGAGAATTTGATTTGAATTTTTTTTAATTGTAGGCTATGGCACAGAAGGAAGATATGGAAGAAAGAATCACGACCCTTGAGAAGCGTTACCTCAGTGCTCAGAGAGAATCTACCTCCATACATGACATGAATGACAAACTAGAAAATGAGTTAGCAAATAAAGAGGCCATCCTACGACAGGTTCAGTATCTTTATCTTGGTTTTGTTCTTGTCCATGTATATGTTCTCACCATTCTTACAAAACATTTAGTAAATAAAATATAGTATTTCTTGGTAATCAATCGTTCTTTAAAATTTAGAATGAAGTAAACATTCATGATTTTTAGCATGAAATTTAGAAATTTGTCTTAATAATAATAAAAATAATGACTAAATGACTAATATTTACTTTGGATCTAGGCATGAACCAGAAACTGGGCTAAATAGTTTACATATATTACTCTACTTAAATCTCAACACCACCTATGAAGTAAGCACATTTGTTATACTGAGGACACTAAGGTTCAGAGACATGAGCACTTTCCCAAGGTCACACATCTGGTAATTGCCAGTCTATAATGGAAACCTAACTCTATTCTGCTCTACAACAGGAGTAAGCAAACTATGGCACATATGCCCAAACTATGGTTCTGTTTTGTAAATAAAATTTTATTGAAACATAGCCATACCTATTTATTTAATCATTGTCTATGATTGCATTTTTGCTACAATGGTGGGATCAAATTTTGAAACAGAAACTATATGATACACAAAGCCTCTAATATTTACTATGTGGCCCTTCACAGAAAAAGTTTGCCAACCCCATTTCTAGAGCCTAGAGTATTAACCATTATGCTGTATTACCTCTCCCTCTCCAGCTACTACTATGATGTTCAATATTTTGCTATCATGGTACATCTGAAGTCTTAGTACCGAGTTGTATTCCATTTGTCCAAGTTTATACCCACTAGTATTGTCTTTTCTTTTTGCTGCCATTGGTGAGCTTTTCTGTTTTTTTAATGTGCTTAATTTTATTAAGGAATATGGATAAGTTATATAAAAACATGAGGACAATAATCTTTTTTCACAATAAGTATAATAGTAATAGTAGCTGATTTTAAGCCTAGAATGATGACTGAAGTCCAAAGCCCCTAGTGACCAATGTTTGCTATTCTAACTGTGACTCTTCAAGTGTTTCTTTTTCCAAACCTATTTCAGATGGAAGAGAAGAACAGACAGTTACAAGAGCGTCTTGAGCTGGCTGAACAAAAGTTGCAGCAGACTATGAGAAAAGCTGAGACCTTACCTGAAGTAGAGGCTGAATTGGCTCAGAGAATTGCAGCCCTGACAAAGGTACTACAATAAAACAATTGATTGATCTAGATACTCATATAGAAATTATTAGTAATCAAAATAAAATCTATAAAGATTTTCTTTAGGTTTTATAGAAATTAAATTTATTTAATCTTTACATTGTTTTCTTATTTAGATGAATTTTTCACATTAAATGTACCTTATTTATTCTGACATGAATAATTAATATATGAATGTAATGATCTCCTTGCCTATTTAAACATTAGCAAGAACAAAATTTCATGTTCTTATAGTTAATTTTCCATGCTAACATTTGCACATAAGAATAATCACCAAATATAAACACATAATAATGATATTTAATATGTATTTTTGTGAGACATAATAACTTACTAGGCTTAACATAAATTGTTTGGTATTAGAAATACAGCAAATATCATAAGTTGATTTCTTTCTGACTATAGTATGAAAACATCTGTTATAAGTTGGAAGTTAGATTTATAGGAGTCTAAAGTCTAAAGCCAATAATCAAAGTGTATTTTGCAATTTCTTCTGAACCAGTTAAAATCAATAGTAATCTGAAGAATGTTCAAAATGATCTGCCATGTTATAGCCATTAGGTTCTGCAATTATCTGCATATTTTAGAATCTTGCAACCATTGTTAAAAACTATTCTTACCTTTTACAGTCAAATGGAAATGACATTGCTTCAAAGTGTATATGCATGTCACTAGAATAAAAGTCCAGATCTTGTTACTAAAAGCATGTTTGACTTTTAATATCAATTCAAAATGTACACATATTTTATATGTTCACACAATTATTACCCCACTACAGTAAATGAATAAAATGGCTGTGAAGTGCAAGTTACAAATTCTGGCATAAGGATTATTTGAAACAACTGATGTGGCAATATAAAAGTAGGCACACATACTTGCTTTCCTGAAAAAGTAAATAAAGGGGGACAGTAAACTAATGCCTGTGGTTAAAATAAGGTAATAAATCACATAGTAAAAAGGCAAACATTTGACAAAACAAGCAGCTTTAGAAAGTATTGGAATATTGGTGGTCTATAAGGTATTAGAGTAACGACTGAATAAAACATTAGTCACCTTAGGGTAATGTTACAATCTGGATCCTTCTATAGTCACAGATCATGCCATAAACCCCTTTGACAATTACAGAAATGTGTGATTTCTAAGATAAAGATAAATTTATTATTTAATTTTAAGAAAGATTCTCTAAATTATATAAAAATATGCAAATATAGCAGTAGTACTCTTCTTACGAACACATTTTAAATTACTATAATATGAATTAATGTATGTATACATATTCTTTTCATCAAAACATAAAGAATTTTCATAAAGAGTTATCTTATTGAACTGAATTATTTTAAGGAAAATTAGATGAATGGTTAAATAATAAAAACTGTTATAAATTTTTAATGTAAAATAATCATCAAGATTATTTTGAGTAAAATACAAGAAAGTCTGGAATCTCTCCCAAAGAAACACAATTTAAAATTCAGCAAATAATTGCCTCAAATTAACCTTTTAATACCTAAGAATAAAACATTTAAAATACACTAGATGAAAAAGGTGAAGGGATTAAAAAGTACAAATTGGCAGTACAGCATAGGGAATATAGTGGATAATATTTTAATAACTATGTATAGTGTAATTTGGGTACTAGACTAATCGAGTGAATCATTTTGTAAATTACATAAAAATGACCACTAGTTTTTACACCTTAAACTAATATAAAATAATATTGACTATCACCTATTATTGAAAAAAATACATAATAAAATAAAATACTGTAAATATTTGTAAGAATCTTTAATTTAGAATATAAAGCAAAAAACCGAAATAGTGTCTCATCTTTTTGCCCTTCACTTTATTCTCTTGGGATCATATTTTTGTTATGTGCATTCATTTGTGCACCCCAAATAATATCCTTGGTTTACTCCTACCTAATAATATATGGCTAAAATTTCACTTCGCGTGGACTCTTTTGATTTCTTCATTTATCCATAGAGTTTTATTCTTCTTAAGAAGTGTTAAAATGCTAGAATTTACTCTGCTTTTTTTTACTGCTTTCTCTTCTGCGTGGCTCTATATCAACACTATTCCAGACATATAGTTTTTAGATTATTGCTATATTTAATTCATCATACATGCTCTTTTAGTACTAAGATTTTATTCTCAAGAGCACACCCTCTGCTTATAACATTTTTATGACATTTGAAGATCACTCTTTCATTTGTTCTCTCATTTTATGGCTACAATAATATTATACTTCTTGTCTTCTGTTCTAAAGACTTTTAGGGACTATCTCTAGACCTGCTTCATTAATTTATTTGTTGAATTTCCATTTGTTTTCAATATGTCACTATTATTGATCATCATAGTCTTTCTCTACTTCCTAATATTTTTGACTACTCACTAAAGTAAACAGATTTCTGCTTAACTTAAACCTAGGCTCCCCTCTCTTGTAACTTAAATAGTATTCTTAATCCTTCAGACATTTTATTCTACTTTTATTATCACCTACCAATTTTTTTTCTCTTTGGCCCTCCTCTCTCTAACTTTAATTTCTTCTCCATTTCCAAACATAGCCACATCCTTCCCAAAACCATTTCTGCCCATGTAATTTCTTTTAAAACTTTAGCTCATTTGAAATTTTCCTGTGTCACATTAAAGAGTCAATACAAGATAAACCCGATGTCATATCAAGGAGTATTTTAAAAAAGTAGCAGATGTTCTTGTGTGACCCCTGTATTTACACCAGATGCTTTACCTGAGGTCCTCACAAGGCAAATGTGAACATAAATCAATAGTGATTGAAAGTCGATCGCAGTGTTTGTTTAGAAATGATGTCTAAATCTATTCTTTGATTGATAAAACTATCTTTTTTTCTTCATGTGTGTGTCTGTGTGTGTGTGTGTGTATGTGTGTAGGTAAAGCTCATTTAAAGCTTTTAGAAAGTCAGAAGTATGGCTATGGATAAAACTAAAATTAGGCTTTTGCAAGTATATATACAATTGATAAAGATTTTGGGCTCTGGATTTTATATGACATTTACTTTTAATTAAAATGCATATTCCCTCAAGAAGGATATAATTCATCTTGAATTCCATAAGGTTTTTCATTCACTTTTAGTACCAATAAAAAAGTATCAATAATAACACAGTAATTTAAATATTACAGAATTCTTGTTCACTCTCTGAAGTGAATTTTCACAGTGTGTGGTGTCTTCAATAGTTAGAATGGAAACAGGTTTAAGGACCTTGAAAGACCTACTGGACTTTACTTGTATTTTAGGAGAGATAGTTGTAAAAATTGAAATGTTCATGTCTTGACTACCTTGAATCAGCCACCTGATTAATTTTCATACCACTAAATGCCTGTTAAAATATACTTTTGAGAGCTAACAGATACCTTTATGAATTTAGTTTATATAATTTCAATATTTTGACCCATTTATTGTATTCTTCATTGAATTACAAGTATTAAATACTATTATAAATTCATTTTATGGCACTTGAGGACTATGGTATCTTCCTGTATTGCTTCTGCTTGGAAATTTGAGGAGAAAAATTACTTATTGTTATTTCTTTATTATTTCTCACATTTATGAAATAAGAATATCAGAAGAAAAATCTTATAAAATGTAAATGTTGAACTATAACTTGCATAAGTACACTCATTAAATGTCAAATGTTATTTCATAGATTAAAACAGAATTCGTTGCATAAAATAATCCCTATACATATGAACCAATACATAACTAGATTACTATTTATTTTCAGGTACAGCATGGCATATTTATATTTGGTCCTATATTTACATGAAATAAATTTTAGTTTTAGAATAAACTTATAAATGTAATAGAATATGCTCTGGAGTTATATTTTGTAGTGCTGACATCAGATACCTTTGATGTTAAAATTACTTGTAAATATGATTAAAATGTTGTTGTAACTTTACATGTAATCTGTGCATAATATACTAATATAATTCAGCTATCAGCAACATTACCTGTCGAACACTGCATCTGTGGTAACCTGACAGTCACCTCCGAAACGTGTAACTCACCTTGACACTGGGGAAACATTAGCTCACAGAAGCAATATGCTGCCTCTTTCCTTTAGGGCACTCTCTTGTCTCCACAGCAACAAATCAACTCAGAAAGAGTTTGGGAGCGGTCATTAGTGTCATTCAAAAGAGTTCACAAATAAGATTTCTTGTCTTCACAATATTATTGTGATCTTTATAATTTGAGGACTTTTAATCACATTCATTTCAAATTCCAAATTAAGATTGTATCTGAGGATAAGTGCCAAGGTTCAAGACCTACAGCCATAATGTATATTCAGAGACCAGAAGTCATTTTGAAAGTTTGCTGCTTTTGCCGAGGAAACTCAATCCTGCTTGAAATGAAAAATACTACTAATAATTAACCCCATGGCTTAGCTTCTTCTTTGATTTCGACAGAGTTGGGTTTATAATAAATGTTATTTCCAATTTATTTCACTTGAGTCATTGCCTTAGCATATTCCACAACATTGAGATACATTGTTTCCATTATTTTTAAGTAATATGATAAACAAAAACCAAAATACAAAACATTTAACAATCTACCAGGGACATATTAGTGTTGGTTTCTCATAATTTCAATTATTACATGACTCTTTTAGAGTTGCTTTAATTTATTCTGTAGTAGTCTTTCATTGCCAGCCATCTCTAACCTTCCATACCTTAGGTTGATAGCTTTTTATTTGAGCATATCATTGTTTTTCAATTACAGCCATCAACTGCATCATGTTCACCAGATATTGGTGTAGTTCTTTCCACATAAAATTCTGTCTATTAAAGTATTAAATTTGCTGTCATGTTTTTCTTTTAAGCATTCTGTGCTATGTTCTGTTCAGTGTCAGTGTCTTTAGTTCTGATTTTTCAATTTTGTCCCTCTCCTTTTCCTTGACTTGTTAGTCTGATCCAACCTCTTCTACCTCATCAGATGATTATCAATATGTTATGGAAGCTAAACTACAAGAAATGATCTCCATACGTAGGAAGGTAGTCCTACTGGACTTTACTTTCTATTGCTAAATAGAATCCATCTAAGTTTTTCTTTTTATTTATAAAAATTATGTTACTTTTATTTATTGATAATCGACCATCTGTGCAGTTCAGTGCTTCAGGAGCTTACGATTGGACAATGGCAGGTTTGTGTTCAAACCATGCACAGTCTGCATGTTACATTTGGCTGATTTCATTGCTCATAAATAACTCCAATGTTTTGCTGATGCTTGGATGTAACAGGCCTTTGTAGCTGACACATTTCAAGCAATGCTGTTCAGCTGCCTGTTTAAAGAAAGTTTATTTTTGAAAACTACATTTGCGGTTAGTAGTAGCTTGCTTTACATTTTATTTCAATTTATTTAGAGGACAAGTGTTAATCAAATGTTACAAATTAGGTGCATTCTTCATATTTTTGAATAGGCTGAAGAGAGACATGGAAACATTGAAGAACGTATGAGACATCTAGAAGGTCAACTTGAAGAGAAAAATCAAGAACTTCAAAGAGTATGTATATTGAAAACTGCTCCCCTCAATCATCAATTTAAAGCTTTATATTCTACATTCAAAAAGTGAATGTCTTTCTTAATTATGGGTTATATTTAAATGTTATGGATATGCCCTTTCCATTTTAAAGAAAAAAAGTTTTTATCCAAATAGACATAAATTTAAATCCCATTTAAAACTAGAAAAAATATAAAAACAAACCCAAATACTTTTTTAAATGATTATTATGTCAAATTTATTTTTTTCTTGGATGTAAGGCTAGGCAAAGAGAGAAAATGAATGAAGAACACAATAAAAGATTATCCGATACCGTGGACAGACTTCTGACTGAATCCAATGAGCGCTTACAGCTACACTTAAAGGAAAGAATGGCTGCTCTAGAAGAGAAGGTAAAATGACAGAAAAGTAGAATCACATGAACATTTAGCAATGTTTTTATAATCATGTTTGTTTTATACTCTGCTGCAATCATTGTATTGGTCAGATGATTCATTTACTTTCCTTCCTTTAAAAAAATAGCCTGTTATATTCTTAGAAGTGAATGATTTCTATTCAAATGTGTAAGGTCAATTTTTAAATGAATAAAAAATGCTTTATGGTATATAAGCCTTACATATTGGCATGATCATACAAGACAAATGTATTAAAACATACTGTGCTTTTGTGATAAAAATATTTCACTTATCATTTGCCTGGCATGCAAAAAAGAAAAATGGTAAGACAAAAAAATATATATATTTTGCAACATGCAAGAAGGCTTGTTTTGAACTATTCAAATATTTCAAGTAACTGAATCTATTACCAGTCTAAAAGCCAAAATGTGAGAGTTTGTATCACCAATAGTTCAATTCCACTACAGAATTTAGGAATGCAGTATTTTCAGCTGCATTGTTTTAAAAAAAAAAAAAAAGTGCTTCTGGAGTTTTATTCACAATTCCATATGTCTCGTTGATAGTTGAAAGCTACCAGATCAGAAAGAGTTGCGTGAGCTAGTTGCCAATTCTAGAGCAGAAACAAACAGAGGTACTAAAACCCAGGTGCACAAATCATATTGGAAATTTAGATTAAACGTCAGTCACTACTTAAACTAGATATTTTCCCTGTTCTGTACAATAAACCAAAATAAGGAAAATATTTTAATGAAATGTTAAAGTATTTTGATTAATTTGCTCATTAGGAAGTCATAAGGCATGCCTTCTTCCCACTTAACTCCAAATGCGTGGCCACTATGCCAATCACTACACTCTTAGGTTAATTTTACTCTATAAACTTCAAAAGAATGCATTATTTTAGATCACACTTTTGTATTAGAATAAGAAAATTATACTGATTTTACAACAGTAATACTTTTATGGCATGATTTTAAAAAATATCTATGATGCAACTTATTTCTATGTCATGATGTATAACATTGGTTTTTAAATAGCTAAAATTTATTTTTTCTTTAATAACTTAACCTTCATAGAAATTGTTAATTCTTTATTTGAAATACAAGTCCAGAAATTGAACTATAAAAATATGATCTGATCATTTCTTCTTTCTTCAGATAACAAAAATCGCTTTACCTGAATTCTTTGTCAATAATATCTCTTGCTAACATTTAACTTGTAACTCACTTTTTCTCATTTGTAGAGCAACCTAATTTCTCAAATTTTAAAAAAGCAGAAAAGAGGCAAACAGCAATAGCTTGAAAGATAATATTTATTCCTTTTCTCAATTTGAATGATACAAAATAACATCCCACTTAAATTTTATGTATTTTCAAAATGTTAAGGTGTCAGGTTTAAAGATTCTGTTTAAACTTGGTTTCCATGGAAACCAAGAAATAGATGCACCAAGGAAGAAATCAAAGATTATTGCATGATAAAAAAATAACTTACATATTTAATTACTTTATGTTTAGTTTATTAATTATTTCTGTTTTTTCCTCTTCTGTAGAATGTTTTAATTCAAGAATCAGAAACTTTCAGAAAGAATCTAGAAGAATCTTTACATGATAAGGTATCATGAAAACTTATATTTGTCCATTTTTCTTTTTCATACTGCTGAATGTTTTGTTGAAAAATACATTTAACAAGATGTAATTTTAGGATGTCATCTTTTTAAAAATAATTTAACTTTTATATTATGCATAACAATATGTACATATGTAGGGAGAGCTTGATGAATTTTTACAAACCCAATACACTAAAAATTAACACTCTGGAAACCCCTCACTTGCTAACATGCAATCACTATCCTTACACAAAAAGATAATCCCTGTCTTAACTTCTTAGAGAAAAAAATTGCTTTTGACTTGTTTGTGCTTTATATAAATGGAATAAAAATGTATGCACTAACTTGTGTCTAGTTTTAGATATAATTTTAGCAGAAATGTATTAAATATCTATTATGCATAAGAATTGTGCTGTTATATATTTTTGAACATGATCCTAGTTCCAAAGTAGCTGAAAAATCTAATTGAAGAGAGAAAACACACTTTTGACAAAGCAATAAGTTGCAGAGTAGCAGATACCAAATGTCAAATGAGTGAAATAGACATTAAGAACTACAGGTAGGAGAGATTGCCATACATTACTGCTATACAGAAGGCTTCAGTGAGGTGAGACTTGACTAAAACTTTAAGGAAAGGTAAGACTGTGTTGCAATTCTTTTAAATACAGTGCATGTAGCATGATTACAGATGCTAGAAATATGGAAAGAATGGAAAGAAAGAAGGGAGAGAGAGAAGGAGGGAGAGAGGGAGAAGGAAAAGAGGAAGGAAGGAAAGGAAGAAGAAATTGCAACACTGTGGTAGGAAAGGTATTGGAAAAGATAAAAATAATAAAGTTGAGATTGAATAATAGTATATTCAGCCCTAATGAATATTAATTATTACGATGTTAATTTTTAATATAATATTTGGTCCTATAGTCAGTGTGTACAATATCTCCCGAAAGATAGATCTACTAGAGCAATATAAGATGGCACCTAGAAGATAGTACCAAATTCTCTTAAAGTAGTTCAGAATGTCGACAATGGGGAGATGACATTTCATCAGGCTCTTGAAGGCAGATATCATCTGAAAAAGAGAAGAGTAGGGTAGAGGACAGAGCATATGCAATAGCACAGAGAAAACAAAGATGGTTGATTTACTGTATCACCAGAAGTTTGCTGTGACTGGTATGTGTGTAAAGAACTAGGTTTCGGACAGATTGTGAATTTTGGACTTAATCCTATTATGCAATGTTCTGTTATCCAAAACTCTGTGTGCTCCTGGTAAGATCCCCAAAACCCATTCCCCCAGTACCTACCCAAGACTTGTAGTATCAACAATCTGCCTAAGTAACCAGCAGTACTAATCATTCCATGTTTCATATTCTTGTTCAGTTGCCAGAAGAAGCAAATCCCAGGTCATACATCATTTCTGAATATCATTTCATACAGCTAAACATGTTTCCTAATCTAACTATATTTCCTAAAACTCCTCAAGTTTCCACTCAATTAGGTATAACTCACAGTCCATCATCAGCAAAATTCCCTGCATATTAAGTTCTCTCAATATTTCTCTTCATCATCTTGATCTTTAAAATTTGAAGTTCTTAGGACTGTCCTTAGATTTCTCCTCTAAATTTAAGCCCTGGTGAACTCATCTGATCTCATGGGTTTAAATACCATCTATAAATTGAGCACTTCCAGATTTAGATCACCTACTGGGTTCTCTCCCCTGAAGGAGTTCATGTATTCAAGAGCCAGCTCAATATCTCTGGACACACAAGTATCTCAAACTTAACAATTCAACCCCCTCA